AAACAAAGTCTTTGTAAATAGGGAGGAGTGGAGGGGTTGAAGGGAGGGTAGGGGAATGGGGAAAACAAGAAGAACCAAGATATATCGTGTAAAGATACAAATTACCAATGATAAATGTGATTGTATTCTATACCTTAAACGTACTGATAAACTTAATGAAAAAATAAAATAAAATGAGAATTTGGTGTCCCCCCCCCAAAATATAAAATGTTTTATGGAATTCTTGGAAAGAGACTTTTCTGGCAACAGAACACTTATAACTGAATATGATGTAGGTATGTTCTAAGAAAAAGACTTTCATTAATTCATTCACTTGTGTTTGGGCCAGTGACTTTACTGGAATACTAATTTACATTTGTCCACATTGTAGGAGAAAACTGATGGGAGAAAAGTGCAGTAATTTCTCTTTTCACTAATCAGAATATAACCAGGCTATGTGCATAGTTCTGAACTTACTGTGTGGTAGGGCTGAAGGTAGAAGTTTCCTGGAAACCAGAATCCAACCAACACTTCCAGTTCTGTGTGTGTGTGTGTGTGTGTGTGTGTGTGTGTGTGTGCGCACGCACACACACACATGAAAAGACAAAAATAAGACTCAGAGTCATTTAAGTGTAAATTTGCTGAAATAGGGAAGGTTTGCAGAGTTTTTTGAACAAAAACTACGGACAGAGGCTTAAGAAACTGTAGGATTTTGTTCAAAGGTAGGCCACGTCTCATTCCTGTGCAGAGCCTTGAAAGGGACAGAGGCTTTGACTGGAAACTCAAGGAGGCTAAACACAGGAAGGATTAAAGACTTCTGTGTGTAAGCTTGGATAAAAAGCAGTGAAGCCTTCAACTTGGGGAAACATCTGTGTTTGCATTACCAAATTTGAATGGTGACTAAGGTAGATGGAAGATCAGAGGACAATTCCATAAGTATTCTGGACTAACAAAACTCTTAAAACTTTCAAAAGAGCCTAGTAGGGTAAGAAGACATATTACAAGGAAAATTTTTAAAAGATACAAATACAACATACTTAATCTGAATTTATATAAGCCAGAAGTCAACAGAATATCACCTTTATAATGTTTAATGTGCTGATTTCTCAAAGAGATTTTACTGCACATTTCTTGGTTGCTCAATGATTCTGAGATCTCTCCTTGTTCTTAGTGGGCATCCATATATTTTCCTTTTGAAATGTCCACATATTTTGGCTGTTTCTTGTTTGTCTGATTATAATTGAGTTGTGGGATTTTTTTCTCCATAAATACTCAGGATACACATCTTGGACAAATATGTGCACTGCAAATATTTTCTCCTACTTTATGACTGGCTTGGTTTTTCATTTTCTTAAATGTGCCCTTCAAAGGGTAAATGTTTTTTAACTTCTGCCCTTGGAATCCACACTACATCCTATTATTAGGACATATGTTTTCTCTTGTACTTACATACTTTTAATTTTGTTGGGCATAATCAATTATATTTTATAAAAACTTAAAAATGGAAAAAATATTTAACATATGCCACATATTTACTATCCCTGGAATTCTTTATTCTATTGAGATTCATGTGTTTTTCATTGGATATCATTTTCTTCTGCCTCAATAACTTCCTTTAATATTTAATATAATACAGACTTACTCACAGGAATTCTTCCAGAATTTCTTCTCTTGTCTGAAAAGTTATTTTAATTTTTAAAGGATAGTTTCATTGCCATGAAATTTCTGGTTAACTTTTTCTTTAAACATTATAAA